GAGATATTCTAGGCTGATGCAATGTAAAAAATGAAGAAGCGAATGGGCCACCTACTAACAAATCTGAACAGCTGCTGTGGGCTGGATATGGTTGGAATTGACTAGAGCGGTAAATGATTGCCATTGAAGCCCATCATGCCACTGTGCAAAGAAGGAACAAAGCACCTTCGAGCACCAGGGGTTCACATGGGGAAGACTCTGAAAGGACGGTGGGGGGGGGGGGGAATGACAGCAAGATGTTTTCACTTTTGTACTTGACTTTCAAACCTGCCCATTTCATGTTTTTAAAAAGCTATTAAAATGCCAAACCTCAAATCTAAAATTAAAATTTAGGGATTAGTATTCAGAGCCACAACAGCTAAGACACTTTCTAGGTAAGAAGCCAAAACAAAAATATTTAACAAAAACAAATGATGCGTTTTCTCCGAATAGTGATGCACACACTTTATATTCTGAAAACGTTTTAAAGACTGCATATATACAAGAACAGTACCAGCTGTTAAACTCATTTTATTTTTATTTCATGTAACTAAAGAGCAGACAAAGATATTATAATGTAACAAAAATGGCAACTGATGACTTGAACAATCTACATGTTAAAGAACTTAAACAATTATTTGAGGATAGTCACAGAGTATCATCTTATATTTTTGAAATGTAAAACACATAATAATAATAATACTGAGAATACTTCATCTAAACCACAATGCCTCAGGCAAAAGCAATTGTTCTTCCACTCTGAGGACGAATCTAAGTATTACCAATAAAGTGCCACTGTATTGGCGATGTCGTTTCAGTGATTTCCTTTCTTGGAGGAGGAAGAGACATTTTTATCTCAAAAGTACTTCATAGTAAAGAACTAGTAATTTTCATTGTATTTGTACAGAATTTAACAACTGGACAGCTAGCACAAGAAATGCTTATTGATACCAGTTAGTAACCACTGAAAAGAATTCCTCTCAAGAAAGACCACAGTTATGATTTATGGCAAGTTGTACGGTTATCACTAGTTAGTGTTCAAAGAGTATTTAAAAATACAATCTTAAACTAAGATAAACCTAAGGCTACTAACCAAGAAATCGCTGTAGGGAATTCACAGAACTGAGACAAAACCTTCTCTTCCTATTAAAGTCTGGCAACAAGTGTGTTTCCAGCGGAACAAAGCCTTAGATGCTTTGCCATAAGATGCACTTTGACATAAGGAAAACGTGCTCATTGCATTTCTACAGTACATTTCAGGCACTTGACCTCACTTGGTAGTAAAGTTGATGTTCAGATTTTTTTTAATGGAAAATTCTAAATTACATAATGACTTCAAGCTATGTTCCCACAGAACACCTGTTCTGTAAGTGAAACCCAAATGTTCCCTGCTAAAATCAAATAATGATAACACAGAATCAATTCAAAGGGAGAAAAAAAATGAATACAGATTGAATTCTCTCCGTTTTAAAACTCTCCACCATCAGTTTTTCTTAAGCCTTTGTTGCCTACTACTTGTCAGATGGCTTACAGAATGACAGGTTTGAAAACTGTGAAATAGTATGCCAAAATATCAGAAAACCTGAAACCAACACCCAGGATTCTTAGTTCAATCGCTGGTGCTATTAATGAGAGCGTGCCCAAGAGTTCTGCCCTCAATATTGCTTAAGAGCCACAACCTTCTCATAGTAAATGTGTTCCCAGTTGATATTAAAGAACATGTAAACATTTTAATGTATCCAAGAAAGCACTATGAATATCCTATTAGCTGTACCCTCAATGTTTGAGAACCACCACCTTAATGTCTGGCTCGAAGATGATCTTTGGGGTACACGTCAAAGGAATGCTTTCAGACCTACCACTAAGGTTTTTGGGGTTCCAAGATGAGACTTCCAAATTCTATTCTAAAGTGAAAAAATATGGCTAGATTTTAGTATAGATGACTCTAATGTTTCCACTTTCCCCCTAGACTAACTAGCATTTATTTAAGTATGCTCATATTAAGGTATTTGTGTGTTTGGTTTTCTTTTTATTTGTTAACTATTCACTGTATTACAATTTGGGGAAATTCTGCAATATACTTTCAGGCAGTTAGCTTAAAAATAATGAGATTTCAGCTCTTAGCACAAACAGCCCTGAGAAGAATGCATTCAAATTACAGCTTAACTAGAAATAGCTAGCTGAGAAACTTCAAAGTTAAAAAAAAAGAAGAAAAAAGAAAAGAAAATCTCAAAAAGTCGTGTCAAAAAAAAATTACCAACATTTTGAGGCACTACCAGACTACAGTACTTTTAAGAGTTGGGAGGACTTTGAAAACATAAATCTAAAGCTATGTGTGCATATTCACACACTCATTGTGCTGTAATCAAAAACTATATCCCCAAATGATAGAGGCTAAACATGATACTGCAGCATCTTCTATTAAAGACATCATGCTCTGGCTACAGGAAGAGTTTTGGTAGTTAATAAGGAAGCACTGGTACAAAGATGTGTACCATAACTGGTAACAGTGTCAAGAGCTTGGTTAACAATTTCTTAAGTGACTGACAGCCCTTGGAGGGGAGCATGAGAAAAATAAGTTAATGGTGTTTATGATGCAAAGTCTAAGTCAAAGTAGCAATCATGTGATGCCTCCAGAGGGTATAAAGACTTTGTAGCAAATAAGGTACAACAAAGTCTGTCACAGTAGCAATCAAATGCTGTTCTAGAAAGAAACACATTTGACCTAGCAATACTGAACTGAGCTTGGGGAAATGCCTGCAGACAAAAATGGTGCATCACCGTTTAACACGGCAACCTGACGGTTAACACTTTACACACGGTACCATGTGATATTTAGCATCTGCTACAAAAAAGTACAACAAATAGGAAAGGTCAACCTTGAACATTTCTCTGATGTCAAAAGAAATAACTTTTGGTCTATGTTAAAGAAAGTGTCCAGCTTCCTTTTAATATAATGTGTAACATTTACTAAATAATTGTTCTAGAGAAACACCTACTGGCTTATGTGAAAATAAACAGTCCTGTATCCTTAAAATCTATACTTATAAGTCAGAAGAGTATTTATATTTCATATAGTGCATAAATGAAATCTTAATGCATAAATAACTGTTATTCAAGATAGGAAGACAAAATTGCACTGTGGTAATATGTACATCCTTTACATTGCAATTGAACATTTATTTCTATGCAGTTTGACAAGTCGGGAAGGACATGGGCATGCTAATCCAGAATAAATACTAAGTTAAAACACTAGCATGGCTAACTAGAGCGTATGAATGGTCAGCAAGCGGCACACACTGGTAACTTTCCAGAATTCCTGTGGGTACCATTGCCAACCGGTAGCAAGTAAGACACACAGTCCCAAACGGCAGAGCAGTGTGCAGTGGATTCGTAAATAGAACACTGGAAATATTTAACCTAATTCCTAATTGTGCTTCGGATGGGCAAAAGCGAGAGAAAATTTCCCATTACAAATCGTCAATGACAAACTCAACACTTCTTGTGCCTCCGATTCTCCTCTTGTCTCCTCCTTATACACTCCTTGATTACAAGCATCTTGGTCCTCACCCAAATGAGTCTCCTGAGGTGAACACAAGATTTGACAGGACACACTAATCAAGCAGTTAGCACGATGGGACCTTCTGGCCCTCAGGCCTTTTCCAGTCACAGACCATGTTTGTCGTAGCCATGTACCCGTGAATATCTTCGGCTAGATGATGGGAACAAAGGCATTCAGAAGTCCAGGCATGCTGCGAGAGGTTCTGCAACCAGCGTGAAGACCAGCGGGCACTGCTGAAATGGGATTTTGTCCTACACTCAAGTCCACTTAATGACTGATAATGAGTCTAAGGTCCTTACAAAGATTGAAAATGTCTAGAATTTGAGAATAAGATATGCACGATTCAGAATACAGAGCAGAAATGCAGTGGTATCAACTTAAAAGCCTTTAAAAGGAATTCTGTGTACAGAAGTCTTTCCCAGCTATTTTTCCATATCTCGACCTAATGTGACAAAATAATCAGAAAAAAATAAATGTATATACTTCTTAATGGAATAGTAATTACTAAATAAACTGCTGCTTCTCCCATGATTCACATTAATTTTACCAAAGTACATTTACTTCCAAATTAAAGTAAGCACCTACAGTTTCTATCTGAAAAATATTTTAATATCAAAATATTTACTTAAAAAAGGTTAGAAATGAGTGATGACTGGTAAATTACCAATTCACCAACACTTACTTAATGTGATTAAAACAAGCACTGCAGTGTCCGGTAAATCTGATCATTCCTCCATATGAATGAATGGAAGAAATGAAAAACAAAAGCTAAGAGCACACAAAAATGAAAGGCAACTTTCTATTGTTCACCATGATTATAAAAGGCCTCAAATGAAAACAGACAGCACTGACCAGTCCTCTGTGCTACTGTCCTTTATAGCTTTTTTTAAACCGATGAATCTAAATAATATTTACCCAATACTGCAACATACCTCTGTTAATCACAAGCAGATACTAAAAATCACTATATATTATATGTACGTCCACGAAAAATTTGACAAAGAAGAGTATAACATAATATAATTAGTTGCACATGGCTACCAAGGTAATTGACAATTTTTGATAATTATTTATCTTAAGGATTTGTGCTCGCTACACACAGGTTGACAATCTCAATCTATATATAGTCTATTGATGCTGTGATAGTCTGAAGTCTGAAATGAATGTAGAACAATTCCATTTCTATGTGGTGCTTCAATTCCACTACATGCTACACTTTTTTATTTGAAACCCTGGTTTATTTATCACTGAACTAAGATTCAGGATTGATTTACTCAGATAAAGCACTTCTGCTAAAGCTGCCTTATCTTTTCTGGGATTTAACATCCTGAAAATCAAAGGAAACATACCTATCAAATGAACGGAAACACACACACACACACACACACACACAAAAACAAAACCAAAGCAGACCTAGGCATTTAGTTTTTTGTGTGTGTTTTCTCGGTGGTTTGTGTTGTTTTTTAAATTGCCAATTCCCTGCAAAACTAACCCAGCACAATTTTAAAACAATTACAAAGAAATGAGGTTGCTGATGAAGGCCATTAGCTCTGGTGACAACTTAGAACCACACTTAAGATCTGCAGCTGACCCAGACCTAAACGGTCTGCTCGCGGCTGATGGTTGCATCTATTTGCAGGGCTTTATGGCTACGGCGTACTCTTCACTCATGGCACACATGACAGACACCTGGAAGGAAAAATGCAGGCAAGTCATTCCTAAGTTCATAGACTCACCTATACACACACCTCTCTCTCTCTCTCTCTCTCTCTCTCTCTCTCTCTCTCTCTCTCTCTGTGTGTGTGTGTGTGTGTGTGTGTGTGTGTGTGTGTGTGCGCGCGCGCGCGCGCGCGTGCACGCATAGAATATATTTAATTCCCCGTCATTGTTGTGTGCCACTGTGTTGGAACCAACTCATAGCTAACTCGCAGCATAACTCATAGTGGGTTTTCAGAGGCAGGAACTGCATGCGTGTAGATCGGCTGTCCTTCTCCCATGCAGCAGCTGGGAGATCGGAACTGCGTCCCTTTGGCATGGACAGTGCAAGTTCCTGGAAAGGAATACACTAAAACTAATCTACTTCCATGAGTTTTCTAGAGTGAAATTGCTTAGAAAGAACATGTTTGAACATTTATTGGCACCCTCATAGCATCCCTTTAGTCAATTTAAGAATGATGGGGCATCTATTAAAATAAATGAACTGTGATATCTTCCTTGGTAAAATAAATGAACTGTGATATCTTCCTTGGTAATCAGTTCTGAGGGTTTTATGGGGGAAAACTGGTCTTATAAAAAGAACTTTTTAAATTGGAGAATAACCTTATAAAGATTAAGTCCCCACGTGTATTAAAAACTTTTCCAAGTAAGGTGAAAAGAAAACTTACCAACTGGGAAAAAAACATCTGGCAACACTATCTCAGACAAAGGCCTCATAACAAGAGTTTACAAAATACTATAGGACCTCCACAAGAAAAAGATCGATAACCAATTCCAATTCCAAATTTGTAATTACAAAATGGGCAAAAGATACGGGAAGACTTTTCTCCAAAGAAAGACTTTTGGATGGTCAACAGACACAGGAAGATATGCTCAAAATCACTGGCAACAAGAGAGATGCAAATCAAAACTACAACGAGATACCAAGTAGCAGTGGCGAAGTTTAACAGGAGAGCAAGTAATAAATGTTGGAAAGGAGGTGGAGAGGTGGGAACGCTCATTCACGCTGACAGGATGGTAAATGGTACAAGTACTCTGGAAGGCAGTCTTGGCATTTCCTCAAAAAGTTGAACATTGAAACTCCACATGACCCAGCTATCCCACTGCTTGGAATATACCCCAAGGAAAACAAGCTGAGATGCAAATGCAGATAGGTACATAAACAGATCTGTTCACAGCACATACCACAACGTAATGGATTGAGAAATTGTGGCACATTCACACAGTGGAATACTATGCAGAACTCAGGAGCAATGATTTAGAGCATTACTGCATGACTTGAGAGAGACTGGAGAGCATTATGTTACTGAAATAGCTCAGTTTCATAAGGTCAAATACTGCATAAGATCATTATTGTAAAAATAGAAGGATAACTCTAAAAAAAAAAAGAGGATAACTAAAAACAACTATGAGATATCATCTCACCCAGTCAGAATAGCAAAATTTAACAGAACAGCAAGTAACAAATGCTGGTGAGGTTGTGGAGAAACTGGAAACTTTATTCTCTGTTGGTGGGAGTGTAAAATGGTGCAACCACTGTGGAAGGCGGTATGGAGCTTTCTCAAAAAGTTGCAAATAGAGATACCATTTGATCCAGCAATTCCACTACTGGGAATATACCCCAGAGAGACCATCACTGACATCCAAGCAGATATATGCACACCCATGTTTATCGTGGCTTTGTTCATAATTAATAACAAGGAGTTTGAAACAACCTAAGTGCCCATCAACAAAGGAATGGATAGAGAAGCTGTGGTATATTCGCACAATGGAATACTATGCTGCATTGAAAAACAGGAACTCATGCAATATTATTCAAAATGGGTGACCCTGGAGGACATTATACTGAGTGAAGTATCTCAGTCACAAAAAGACAAATACTGCATGGTGCCATTGTTGTAAAACAGGACTGACATCGGGGTTGGAGGGAGATGGGATAAATTATGTATACTGCATTGAAACAGATGAGGGAGAGAACTGTTTAAAAGGAATATGTGATTAGGTATTATTGTCACGACAAGAGTCTAGAACGAAGGCTGCATAGTGGAGTGGACCTGGGGAGAGAGATTGTAAAACAACTAAAGAATTTTACTTTTCAAAGAGAAGAGTATACGGGGGGGAGAAAAGTGCAACAATGAATGAATGGAAATCCAAAGTCTCTGTAAATTTTCATTAAAATTCATAATAATAAAAATATTTTAAAAAATAGAAGGATAACTAATAAAACGTGTATGGGGGCCTAAGAGGAAAGACAAAGGGGCAGAGCAGTGAAGGTGCATAAGGGGAAATCACTGGGTCACCAGATTTGGTGGGTGGAGCAAGGAGGTAAAGGAAATGGAAAGACCTGGTGAGGACCTGAACAGACAGGGTAATGGTGAGCAGATTCATTTTATAACACAATATGTGGGAATGATTGTATGAAACACAATACGTATGAATTTTGTATGCAAACCAATATAAAAGAAAAATTTTTTAAAAATTACTTTTTGATATTTCACCAAGCAAAAAAAGGCCCTTAAGATAGATATGGTTTGCTAGCTGGTGTAGGTCAAGGTTTCTATAAACTAGAAGCCATCACTCCACGGTCTTTACCTGCACGTCTTCACCTGCGTTGTACTTTCCTTCTATCTCTTTGCCTAGTTCACCTTCTGGCAGTTTCAGATCTTCACGAACTTCACCCGTCTCTGTCAGCAGGGAAAGGTAACCGTCCTGAATGCATATCAGCTAGTAAAAGAAATTATATCATTGGTACTGATTAGATGCAGTTATGCCTTTCATACTTACATAAATTATAATGTATATCAATTTGTGTAAGGACACCAGACTATATTAATGCTGATGTTTAAAAAATGCTAGAAATAAAGGGAGCCCTGGTGGTTTAGCAGCAAGAAGCTGCACTGCAATCCCAGAGGTGAGCAGTTCAAATACACCAGTTGCTCTGCGGAAGGAGGGGCAATCTCCTCCTGCACCAGCCAGATCCGATTTGATGGTTGTTGTTGTTATTATGTGGCATCAAGTCGCTTGCAACTCATAGCAACCCTATGTACAACAGCCCTAAACCCTGCTCTATCCTGTGCCAATCTCACTGCCTCTGACAAACCCATCCCGATTACCTGAGTCACTGAATCAATCCACCTTATAGAGGGTCTTCCCCTCCTGTGCTGTCCCTCTATCTCTCCCTCCTTACAACATGTCCAAAGTATGTTAGACGGAGCCTCAGAATCCTTGCCTCCAAGGAGCCACCCAGTTTAACCTTTTCCAGGATGAATCTGTTTGTTTTCCTAGCAGTCCATGGTACTCTCAATACTCTTCTCCAGCACCACAGCTCAAAGGCATCAATTCTCCTTCTATCTTCCTTAATCATTGTCTAGCTCTCTGATACATAAGAAGTGATTGCCAAGATCATGGCCTGTATCAGGTGCACCTTAGTCTCCAGAGTGACACCACACACACACAAAAAAAAACAATAAAAATTTTTAAAAATGCTAAAAATAAAAATATTTTTAAAAATATAAAATATGTACAGAAGTATAATTGGCTCTTCCCTGCACCCCCTCAACTCTCTATTAGTCAGCAGGTTTCTTTAGAGTGTGTCCTCAACATTATTATGTACACAATGCAAAAATAATTACGCTTTACAAAAACCCACTTGTTTTCAGTAAATTGTTTTATCCACTTCACAATGTGCCATGATTCTCTTAAAATGAGAAAATGAGGCCCTATCTTGGAATTGCTATAAATCCAACCTCATGGCTGCTGCTAGGATCTGTCCAGTCAACTATAACTCCTAGTAATCCTCTGAACATCAGTTCTGAATCTGCTCTCTCCCACATCACCGTCACGGCATGTCGGAGCCTCCTGTTAGGAGTCATTCTATGCATCCAGCGTGGTGAGGGTCTCTCTCTCGCTGGCTGACTTTCCGTCTTTCGTAGCATGATGTCTCTTTTCTAAGGAGTGGTCCCTCCTGACATCACGCCAAAAAAACACGTGACAAAGGGTCATCATCTTTTCCTCTATGGAACGTGGGTGCACTTGTTCCAAGTCAGGCTAGTTCTTCTGGCAGTCCATGGGATAGTATTGTTGTTGTTATTATTATTATTATTATTCTTTACAGGCACGGATTCTTCTTCTGTCCTCCCTAGTCACTGTCCAACTTTTGGATGCATAGGAACTAATGGAAAAAGCCATGACCTGGAACAGGCGCACTTTAGTCTGTAAACTGGCATCCTTGCTCTCTAGCACTCTGGAGAGATTCCTGACAGTTTCCCCAATACAACATGTCTTTTTCTTTCTGGACTGCTATTGTCATGGGCGTTGATTATGAATCCAAGTAAAATGAAACAGTTGACACTTTCCATCTTTTTCCCCTTTTATGATGTTGCCTATTGGTCTAGTAGTGAGACTTTTGTTTTCTTGATGTTGAGATACGTAATCCGTATTGAAGGCAGTCGTCTTGGATCTTAAGCCCTCTTTATTAGCAAGTAAGGCTGTATCACTTGCATAATGCAGGCTACTGATGAATCTTCTTCCAAGTCTGATGCCACGTTCTTCTTCCTCCAGGCCACTTCTTCAATAATTTGCTCAGTATACAGTCTGAATAGGTGTGGAGAAAAGATACGATCTTGAAACACATCTTTCCTGATTTTAAACCTTGTAATGTTCCTTCCAAGGGTATATAGTACAGAGTGATCTAACTATTTTTTCTATTGTTGTTATTGATTATTGTCAGGTCAGAACTGACTCATCGCTGCCCCTATGGCAGGTTTTCAGAGGCAGTTAAATTGCACGAGAGGAGACTGCCCATCCTTCTCCTGTGGTGGCCTCGAACCATGTACCTTCAAGACTGCAGTGCAGCTTCTTGCCTATTAATATGTCGAAAAGTTGTTTTCTGGTTTTCTCTACTATCACAAAGTAGAGAAATTTGGTTTCCAGTTTACATAAACACTTTTTTTTAAATTTCAAAGACTTAGGGTATTAGAGATATTAATAAAATAAACTCAGGCAACATCATGATAGATGGAGAAAGGACTAAAATTGTCAATGAGTTCTTCTTACTTGGATCCACAATCAGCAATCTCGGTACCAGCTGTCAGGAGATCAGGAGATGTATTGCATTGGGTAAGTCTGCAGTGTGGGACCTCTCTAAATTATTGAGGAGCAATGGTATCAGTCCACAGACTAAGGAGCACCTAATTCAGGTCATGGCCTTCTCAATCATTTGCTATGCATTTGAGAAGAGGACAGAAGAAGTGGTGCCTTGGAGCTGTGGTGCTGGAGAAAAGCACTATCTTATGGATGGCGGCCAAAAGAACAAGCAGATGTCTCTTGGAGAAAGTGCAGCCATAGTGCTCCTTGGAGGCCAAGGATACAAAGCTTCATCTCACATACTGGGGCATCTTGCTGGGAGAGCCCACTCCTTGGCATTGTGCTTGGAAAGGTAGAGGGACAGTGAAGGAGAGCAAGACCTTCAATCAGAGCAACTGACACAGTGAAGGAGAGGAAGACCCTCAACGAGAGGGACTGACACAGGTACTGCAGCAATGGGATCCGGTGGGTCAGAGCAGATGAGGATGGCACAGCAGAGGACAGGGTTCAGATCTGTTGTTCATTGGGGCACGATGAGTTATACTCAGTTCAGTGGCTTCTAACAACAATCATCAATATAGAAAAAGGTGCAGTTGTGATAAATGCATATTTGTTGTATCACAGACATGAAGAAGCTGCCCAGTGTGCCCGTTTATCCAACGGCACGTATGTTGTCAATGTGGGCAGGACTCGAACTCAGCTCGTTGCCACTCAGTTGGAACTGACTCACAGCTGACCTTCCAGAGGACTTTAGGGAGGCTGTAAACTGCATGAGAGGACAGTGTCCATCTTCTCCCATGGAGTCCCCCCCACTGGATTCAAAATGCCAGAGACACCACCATTGGTTATCAGCATTATTTCTCTAGACCTACATTACCAGAGCTCCCTAGAACTCTAACAGATACTGTAAAAAGCAGCCTTCCACAATACCAAAGTCTCATACACACAAAAGGAGTCAGCAATGTGGTTCTTGATCCCCTTAATTACTACGACACAGCACAGGGTGCAGCAGAGTTAAGAGTTTTAAAATTCACCCCTGTGGAAATACTAAATCTGGTTAAGGCATCCACAGAAGTAACACCTACCACAGGAAACCGGAGTTTTTGTACAAGGGCTATTTCCTCACAAACAAGCAAAAACCCCCACCCAATCCTTTGTACAAAATAACAAGTTTTAATTAATCTTTTATTTATTAAAATGTGTGTGTAGTAGTGGTTGCTAGATTTGAGGGATAAGGAAGCAGAAGTAGAAATGCTTCTCACAGATCTTTCAGCAACCATCTCAAAAAGAATTTGCCAATTTCAGGAGTTAAAGGCTTCACAGCCCTTAATGACTGACACACAGAGGCAGGTAATACTGGTATTCTGACAGTCATTTACATAATGGCAGTATTTTAGTTTTTTTAAAAAAATTTTTTTAAATTTATTATTTTTGTGTGAGTGTACCATCAAATCAGATCTGACTGGTACAGGAGGAGATTGTCCCTCC